CGGCCGAGGTGCTCACCATAGCAAACTGGATCGTGTAGGACTTGTGGTCCAGGTTCAGGGTAATGCCCAGTTATTTGTGGCCCTTCGCAGCCTCAGTGACCAAGAGTCTCTTAGTGACTTAGTGCACAGGAGTGTAGACTCCCTTCTTGCAACATGGCTCACATGAGGGCCTCGTGCAGTGACTCTGGATCCGACCCGGCAGGTGTTGATATCACCCGGACTGAGGTTCACGATGTACCCTTTCAGGATGCAGCATCGGATGACGATGTGTCGGTACAGTCTGACTTTGCTGCAGGTGTGGATATTTCGTACCAGGCATCCTTTCCAGGGGACATCGAAGCCTTCCTTGCTATGCAGGATCATGATGGTTCCGAAGACTCAAATGACATGGAGATCCCGTCAAGGAAGCCTTCCCTGCAAGGTGCTGATGTTAATCTCACCCCGGCAGGTGTCACGAGGGAGCCCAGAGCCACACGACTTTAGGCAAGACCGGAAAGTCGTCCTGCAAAGGCGCCGAAGAATGCAGCAAAAGCTCGAGGGTCGGTCGGTCGTCAAGTTCGGGAAGGTCATAGCAAAGGGGACAACCCGGGACCCCTGCCATCTACCACTCAGGCACCGAGATCCTCTCAGGATAGATCACAGATGGCTGGAGCTTTGGGAGAGCTTGATTCCCCCAGCTCGGCAGGTTATCCAGCAGCTCCCCCCAACCCGGCAGCCTCCCCGTCTCGCAGGTTCAGGAAACCGAAAGCATCACGTCAGGAACCAGTTGATCAGCAGGTTTCCTCAGCCTTGCAGCGAACTCAGGCTGAACCCTCGATTTGCATGGGATGCTCGACTTTCAGGCAGCTCTCAGCATTTGGAGACTGAGCATGGCATCGAGAGAGATGCCATCGGAGGTGCTATGTCTGTGAAGCTAGTAAGCTGGGCAGATCCCCTCAAGCTCACCCCCGTCCCCGTGGATTTGGTGGAGAGAAATGCAAAGATTTTGAAGGACTTGTACCAGTCTGCAGGGGTCCATCTGCCACCACAGATGGAATGGATGTTTCTAGCCAACCTGATTCAGCAGTACACCGGCCCTGTTGAAGACGTCTTTGATCAGGTGACTTTCTATGAATCGAAGCAGCAGGTGTATTGGAAGCATCATCTGAAGAAGTTTTTCACGACGAAACCCACCGACCCTGCAGTGCATCGATACACCCTGTTCTTCGCACACGGCACGAACTCAGGTGGAGCAGAGGGGATTATGAACTCCAGGTACTTGGCACCTGCAACGATTGCAGACGGCCCGTCCGCTGTAGGACACTACAGTCAAGCAACCAATTGGACAGACAACGAAAGCCAGCTTTTGGTGCTTGACCGGGTAGTAGCCTCAGGCAAGTGGCAGTGTCCGGCGATTTTCCAAGGGATGGTCTCCACCCCCAGCGGCCACTGCGTACTTGATTCAGGAGGCGGACAGGATGCTCAGCAAGCCTGCATGATCCATGCAGCGGTGCACTTCAAAAGGGATCGGAAGTGGCTGCTTCATTCAGACCTGACCACAGTCTCCAGCGTGGTCATTGCAGTCCGGAAACAGTTCCAGCCACGACGTGATAAGCTGGGGCGTCCATTGTTTCACTTAGGACCCACTCATGCTGAGGAGGTCAAACGACGACTGGGATAGATGAGTATCATCTTTTCTCCCACTTCGAATTATCTTCGGATGCATCTTTGTTGCAGGTCTTCACTTGCAACCTGCAGGATCAGAGCCGCTCAATTTTTGCCAAAACGAAGCAGCTGCCTTGCAGGTATCCCGTCGCGAGCTTTTCATTCTCTCTCTCTCATGCATGTCGACTTGAGCAGACGGTTTCATGCTGTAGCTTTTGAGGCTGTCTGAGTGTACCTTCCAGATTGTACGATTCATCATGTCGCGCCGGGACCGCAGACAAGATTCTCGATCCAGAAGCAGGGGACGAGGACAACCCCAACGACATCGGAGCAGGTCTCGGCCTTCCTTCGTCAGGGACAAATCACAACGTCTCCCTCTTCCACAGTCTTGGCACAGCACCAGCTCGGAGTATGATTCGAATCGTGAGTACGGTCTGACTTTGCCCCGTAAGGTTCTCTCCAATCGCTTTACAAGGGACTTGAACATTGATGGCATGGACATCATGGATGTGAAGTTGTCTCAGGTCACGACAGGAGGCAACACAAACTGGGGATTGCGATCCCTGGCAAACGGCAGGGATAAGTTCTTTGAGACTTTCAAGTCTCGACAGGAAGCTATTATGGCAGGGACCTTGATGCGAGCTCTGCGTGGCGATTCAGTCGGTACATCAGGTGCAGATCTCAATGCCACCCTTACTCACATGACGAAGACCAAGTTCCCAGGTCAAGACCCATACATTTGGGACAACAGATATGTGGCTATCAAGGAACTTGTTGAGCATTTGGCTAAGGTTGTTCAACAGAAAGGACCGACTTCAGCTAACCAATCGATGCTGGACCAGGTTCGTCAGTTGCAGCGAGAAAATGCCAGGTTGAAGAGTGGAACTCGCAGCCGTGAAGCCAGACCGAGTGCAAGTGCACGACCACCCTCGGAGGAGACCAAGGACCCAGTCACACCGAAGATTCCTACCAGGTCAGCACCCAAGAACTCAGGTTCGGCCAAGACATCTCAGCCCCCGTCCTATCGGCGAGCTAAGGCCAAATCCAGCGCCGAGCTGCCCACTACGGTAGTTCGTAGCCTTGAAGATTGTTGGGTACCACGGAACGAAGCAGGAGCAACTCATGATGACCCGGATGAACTCGCCACCTTACCACCTCGTTCCCAGGAAGGTTCACCTGACCTCGCAGGATTCAGCGATGATGTACTGGATGAAGAAGCACCAGACTACGCTGATCCACTAGAGACAGTGGATTCTTTTCGACCCCAGTCCGAGAACCCCATCTTGGACGAATGTAAGCTTGACAATTTCAAGGTCGCCACCATCAACAGTTGGATTTCCTCGAAGGTCGGCAAGGAACGTATGAATCAAGTTCGTACAGCTGCAGATGAGTTGTCAGCTGCCATGTCTCGTCTTTCCCCAGGGAGCAGGCCAGCTTTGGATGCCATCGCAGTGTCGTGGGGACTTCCGGTCAGTACAGCAGCGAAGGTTGGAGAGAAACCCCTTAGCATGTTAATCGCAACATGTTATGTGATAGGACAGGAGTGACTCCAGCCTACGCTGGAAGGGACCCAGGCACCACGTCGCACCAGGACATCTGACCAATCAGTGTCTCGTGCCCAGATGGTCCATTTTCTACGAGTTTTCTTTCGATGGTTTTCCATGATACTTCCTGCACTCTTTCAACTCTTACCACGTCGAGTGCTCGATCGTCTACTTTGGATTCGTGCTCGACTTTTTGTACAGGCTGTACGATCCCCTTTTGGTTTCTTTTCCACGAAGTTTTTTCGCAAGTTTCGTGATCTCCTACAGGTCAATCGAGTGCCGAGTGATTATTCATGGGAGTGGCATACTCAGGAGAGTGTGGTTTATGTCAGGACAAAACATGTGGGATCAGGATCGGCGACCCACTTCTACATTGGGTCCACGGCAGACACAATCCATCGACGAGAATTGTCTCGTCGAAGAAAGTTTCTTCAATTATGTCGCCACCGTATTGCATACTTTGAACCTGCTCTCAAGGTTTGGGCATGTCAAGGCGATTTTTACTGCGGGATCGGTGTTGTCCTACGTCATGTTGAGGATATGGTGGACAGGTTGGCCTGGGAAGCCAAATACATTCGAGATTTTCCAACCTCCACTCAACACACCATGGGTAGGACAACTTCTTAGTAAACTTCGCCTACATGAACGCAGGTTCATCTTGCCGAGTCCAGGTACAGGAAGACGGTTTGTTGACCGTGCTCGACGACATGCTCGTTACAAGTTCTCAGCATCGTTACAACCAGTTGAGTCCAATGATGTTTTCCTGTCCTTGTACAAACTGGGGTCGAACTCCAAACAGAAATTCCTTGAGGCCAAACTTCTCCGTTCACGTTTGACAGATTTGACTCACCTGTATCTGCGATCTCGTTTGATGAAGTTTATTTCTGAGCCTTGGAAGACTCGTGCCACCAATCAGCTGCGACTGACACTTGCTTTTCGTCAAGGCCACCCACCCCCGGTCAATAGACCACTGATCCTTGCCCCACTATCACATGACCTGAGACAGGAAGTTCAGATCTTGCTTCGCAGGTTGATATGTCAAGAACGATGCAACTTCCCACCTCTTCATCTTCCGACGACCAAGTTGGTTTATCGCAAAGGCCAACAACTTGCTACACAGGTTTTCAACTACAGGACCTTCCTGCGACGTTGGACTCGTACGCAAACAGCAGTTTGCACTTGTGGCAGGTTGGCGGAAGAGTATCCACAGGCAGTTACAGCCAGTGGACATGTTTTTGCTGCAGCTAGAACTATCGCTCCGAACGCAGACTTGTCAGGTGCCAACTTGTCAGACACGATGTATTTTTGCAAAGACACGTGGATTCATTCGACAAATCAGGCAATGGAGAGTTGGCGTAAACGATGGCGCCTCCCTTCCCGTATCAAATCTGTTCTGCAGGAATGGGTTCAGGAACAGTGGCGACGGCATGAACAATCGTGTCAGGTTCATCGGAAGAGACACTGGACACCAATCGAGGTCCAACGAGCTCTAGGATCTTTCCAAGGTCTTGTCCGAGGCCCTGCTGATCATTTTCCGAACTCGCTGTTCGTGTCATGTCCCGTACATTATCATGAACTCCTTCTTCGTACCTTTGGTGAGAAGCAGGTTTTTCGACCTTGCCGCAATGGCACTGTGTCAATTTTGCGATACTTACGTCAGGATTTTGAGCAACATCACCCCGACCTCAGGCTGTACAAATGGACCTTCCAGTGGGAAGCTGGTCTACCCGTTGCTAGGATTCTGCCCAAGGCAAGGCCTCGAAGCTTTTCATGAAAGCTCGTCCGATCATTGCGTACACGAAATGCTGGCACACGAAAACCAGCTCCTTTCTTGCTACAGCATTGTTTGAGCTTATGCAGGTTGCTTTTCCTTCCCATTCGACATGGAACACAGCTTCAGTACATAGAGCATTGGATTCGGCATGGCGACACATTCAGTCGGTTAAAGCCCATTGTGAAGCCTTAGAGATGGTGCAACAGGATCTCATTGGATTCTTCAACTCTGTGCCACATGCCAGGATTTTGCAAGCTTTGGAACTCCTCATATGGAGACTCGAAGAACTTTTTCGTCACAACGTGAAAGATATTGTCTTTCAGGTGGACATGAAAGCCGGCACCAAAGGCCTAAGAATTTTCAGAGGTCAGCAACGTTTTCGTCAATCTGTCACAAGATTGTTGCGACTCTGTCATGTTCAGGAATTGACAAAGTTTCTTCTCAGGTCCGCCTACTTCAAAGTAGGACAAGACACTTTTCGTCAGATTCAAGGTGCGAGCATGGGGTCACCATTGGCTCCAGTTCTTTGCTCTTTGGTGGCTGCAGAACAAGAATTTCTGTTGATTCACAGTTTTCGACAGCAACTTCACGCTGCAGGCTTACTTCGAGCATTCAGGTACGCTGATAATCGATGTTTCTTCCTTCGTCAGTCAGAGATGCATACAGACTGGGCGACGATGACTTTGCAGTTGGCTTTTTACGGCTTGCCTATCGAACTCGAACATGTGCCAGGAGAACAACTGTTAGGTTCGATCACCTCGACGATTCAGGGTACCATCACTATGCAGCAGCCAAGTGATATCACACTTCTTCGTTCCATGAGATCCGTAGGTCCGACTTCAGCAGCGATTTCTGGATTTAGGGCACGAGCCTTGACAATCGCTCGGCAGACTCGACCAAGGAGATTAATTCGACCGCAGGTGGAGGACTTAATTGCACTCTACTTACGAAGAGGTTTTCCATTGGATGAACTGCGTGACCAGACCCGCAGACTCAGGATTTGAAAACTAAGGGTGCTTTTTCTCGACGCTTTGTGCACCTGCTCAGATTCTTCATGTCTTGTTTAGCTTACCGACAGGTCAATTCCATGAGCAACCTGCATTATCAGTCACCCGAAGCATTCTTTAGGCCAGCAGAAAATCATCTAGCATAGATCGCAGCACTGTTCAGAGAGATGGATCAGGAAATGATGAATGACACTCGTTGGCGAATCGACCGTGCTTCCACGGCACAGCTGTTGGAACTTTTGTGGCAAATATGGGATCGACTCAATCGTCGTTTCAGGTTCATGGATGGTCCCATCAGATGTCACCGACAATGCGAGAGTTGCTCGAATCGATGTTGTCACCACAGTCATTCCACGACTGAAGAAAGCCGACATGAATGGTAGGGACCACACAGATGCTTCATCCACGATGACAACGGATATGAGTACTTGTGAGCATCGACAGGAAAGGTTGCATCAGCATCAAAGACGACCGTTGCTTGCATTCTCTTTCTCTTGCTTGCTTGCTTGCTTGCTTGCTTGCTAGGGGTATGGGCCTCCGGGGAAGCCCTATTCTCTTTCTCTCTCTCTCTCTCTCTCTCTCTCTCTCTCTTTCTTGTGTGCACTCTCTCTCTCTGCATATGTGAGCATGAATCTGAAGGTACCTGCCGTGACAGCATTGATTTCAAGTTAGGCTCGAATCCCGTCAGCAGCGACCTTTCAGACCAGGTGTAGCACTTGGGACATGTCCGGATACGATTCGGACCTGGATTCCATACTCTTCTCTCCATCGGATGAAGAACAAGTCTCCTTTGACAGCATTCTTCGCACACCGGAGGAGATTGACAGTGATACACTGGACAACGATCAGATGTCTTCAGGCGGTAGCCATGAACACAGCAAGTCACTGAGTTCTGCTTGTGCATTGGAGCCGCCTTGCTCGTCACATGAGGCAGCAGCATCTGTAGCCGAGCCAATTCAGGATCAATCACAATCTGTGGTCGAGCCAATTCAGGATCCACCACAATCTGTCACGAAGAAGCGCCGATTTCCTAGGCTAGGTGAGCACTTGGATGGTTCCAGGAAGTTTCGTCTCATTGTCAAATCTTGCCGCAAGAAGGTGTTTCTTCGTCGACGACTGAAGGCTACCAAAGACTTGGACGACGGTTTCTACATCCCGAATAGGGCCAAGCTTATTCTAGATTTCCTCAAGAATCATGGGGACAGAATGGTCAAGGAAAGGAACGGTCCGAGACAGTCTTTTTCCAGCACATTGGCATTGGTGCAACATGTCATGACCTGTCACAGGCCCTGACCAGGTATATATTGAGACTGCGTTGCAAGTTTCCCCCCTTCTGACAGGGTGTGTGTGTGTGTACACCCTGATTCTGAGCTAAGGGTCTTTGGAAGGCTACGCAACTCTTGTCATTCCCGTAGGGGCAGCGCAAGCATTTTCTTGTTCCCGCAGGGGGAGCGCAGATATTTTCTTGTTCCCGCAGGGGAAGCGCAGGGGCGTCAGGCTCACCATACCTACCTGAAGCAACGAAGCTATGGTATGGTGAGGGAAGTATCGGTTGGCGACCGATGTGTACCTGCA